AAAAAAAAAAAAGTGGCATTGTAACTGTTCTGAAACAAATTCATTCCTTCAGGTATTAGTCTGAGGTCATGACAGTTGCTGAATTGGGATGCACTGTTGTCACCTTAAGTATAGTTTGGCTTCTGGTGTAGGTTTGTTCCCTGTAGGATTTGACTAGTAGATGACTCAGGCCATCTTCCACAGCTGACCAGCCTGTAGTCAAACCTGTTTCTAGTTGTCAAGCAACCATTAGTTCAAATTCGTGACTTTTTTGTCTGTTCAGATTTTTTAAGGTGTATACTTAAATAGCTCTGATGCTTTTCTCTTGGTGATTGCAATTGTACATTGTTATTTGAGGGGAGATTGGGTATAGTGACTTTGAGGGAGATCTGGATTTGAATTCTGATCTTTATGCTTGCTAGGTTTGTAACTTTGAACAAGTTACTTAGTCTTGCTGAGCCTTAGTTTTCCAATAATAATCAGGGAACAGGGTTGTTGTGGGGCGGTAAATGAGATTACATAGTCGTGGGTAATACAGTGCCTGATGCTCAGCAGAGTTTTCAGCATGTGCTGATTGTTTCCATTTTTCATAGAAATGAGAGGTAAAATAATGATAGGTATTATGGGGAAAAGCATGGAAGAATAATTTTGTAATGTAGGTGAGATCCTTTTGCTTTTTTTCCAGATGAGTATTTCTTTGCTTTGCATATGATCTAGATAAGCATCCTTTCAAGAACTGTGACATCAGTGGGTAGAAGTAACAGTGGAAATGTTGCAAAATAGGAAAAAAATTAAGTGTCAAGATGATAATATGGGTTAGTAGACTGTTCAAGGACAAATCACAGAGGTTATTCCTGTCACCTGCAGAGTGGGGATTCTAATACCTGCCTTCCTGCCCAGGATTGTGAAGATCAACTGTAATAATGTATTTGGAAGCTCCTTACAAGTAGTAGTGTTATAAAAATGTACAACATGATTTTTATGGTTGAAAATAGAGTGCGTTAGATGTTTATTCCTACTTTGTGGGGACATTGAAATGGTGGAGGGAGGTCATCTCCCACCCATAAGTGGCTGGTAGGGGAGCTTGTTTTATATTTGCAGAAAGGATGATTTGAGTACAGAAGTATAAAGCCTTTACTGTCTCAAAGGTACTTCTGGGTGTCATCGCTAAATTAAGGTCACCATGTTACTATTTTTTGAAAGATCACTGCAGTCCTTCCCTTTATTACCATCTGAAGTGATTAAGACAGGTACTGGTTTTCAACATTTATTTTGTCAGAGACCTGTAAGTCCTCATATGGTAAAGCAGATGAAAACTAGAACCAGAACATCATTTCCTTGTAGTTGTAACTTGCAGGAAATTAATTTGCCTTTGATGTGGGATCATCCTTTCAGATAGAGGAAGAAAGTGATTATTTAAATGGACTTATTCACCTCTGAAAGTAGAGGTTCTCATTTAGAAATCTATTTAGAGGAATTCATGCATTCCCTTTCCCTTGCCCCCTGGGTTTCCAAATAATTTAGATATGATTTATTGGTTTTACTTTTGCATTTTCAGGTGTAAGTACTTCTTAGTGCCTGAAAGTCAAAGTCTTTTAGATCCATGTGAGTTTGTGTTGCTTAATATCTGGATAAGTGGATATTTTCGTGATTTAATTGTTAAGTAGCTTTTTGCTGCATATGTTCCTCAGATACATTATCCTCTACCAATTTTTTTGAGGGCATATTCTCTTCTTTCCATGCCTTAATATTTCTCTAGTTTTTATCTCTTCACTCATTTACTTATTAAAAGATTTCTATTGGTGCTTAGCGCATGCCAGGTACTTTTGTTAAACACTGGGGATTCAAGACATGGTCCCTGCAGGGGGGAGATCACAAAGCAGGTGGTTAGAACACTGTGGAGGACAGTGGATCAGAAGTAAATAATTTCTAGTAAGTAACAAGTAGGTTATGCTTAGTCACCAATTTTATACAGTTTTATCAAGCCCTTCTTCTCATGGGGACACAGAGGGAGCAATTCCTAACTTAATGGTGTGTACCTTTTGTGTGTCAGGGGAGAGGATTGTCAGTGAAGGCTTCTTAAGGCCTCAACTGAAGTGAGAAGCGGCTGATTGTAAGATAGCTTTAAGGAGTATGTGGCAGTGTAGAAATCAGCTTTGGAAAGGAGGAGGGAATTGGATTTGAAGGCTTGCTTCTGTTCCTGAAAAGCATTGATGTAGTCTCTGCGCTGGGGAGGGGAGCAACAGGGGGTTGGTTTCTTCTGGAGGGTCATTAAAAGAGGCTGCTGTATGACAGGAAATGAAGTATTCATTCAAGAGACTGAATACTGTGTGTACTGTGCCAGTTTTTGGGAAACTTGTTATATCTAGTTCCTTTGGATACCCTGACCGCTGTTCTTTCCTTCTGCTTTCAGTGGTGATTTGCAAATCAAGTTAAAATGTCCCCAGAAGTGGCCTTGAACCGAATTTCTCCAATGCTCTCTCCATTCATATCTAGTGTGGTCCGCAATGGAAAAGTGGGACTGGATGCTACAAACTGTTTGAGGATAACTGACTTGAAATCTGGGTATGTACCAGAACTGATTCAACTAATGTATCAGAACCAGTCCAGCCTTTACCTAATAATAAACTTTTACCACCAGATTCATAAAAATTGAACACCATCAATTCATCAAGTCATGGCCTTATCGCATGTTGATGCAGTTGGTTTTGTCCAGTTCTTGACATTTTATGTTTCAAGTTGTTTTATTTGTGTTGCGGACCATTACTTTATGATCAGAACGTTCATGTCTGGTTTTTTTGTTTGTTTCTTTGTTCTGGGGCATGTCTCTTTGTTAACAGTGTGCCATGTGGTTTTTCATGCATTGACTTGTATTCTTGTTATGTCTGCTGCAATCCAGAAGGTACTGTAAGAGTTGGGTTTTGGGATTCTGAATATGACATCATTTGATAATCTCTCCTAATAGGAAAATTATAATAGCTAGCTGGCATGAGTCATTTTTCACAGTGGGCTTAGAACAGTTGACTCTCACACCTGGAAATGTTGCATTAAAAAGCCCCAACTTGTTATTTAGAAATAAATTTAGATTTATAGAGAATTTACAAAATAATCACAGAAAATTAGTGGTGCTATAATGCTGTTAGTTGTTCTACAATCCTTGTTTGGATTTTTCCAGTTTTCCCACCTGTGCACGTCCTTTTTTTTGGTCCAGGATCCAATCCAGGATACAAACAATTTAGTTGTCACTTCTTCTTTTTAACCTGTGACTGTCTTTGTCCTTCATGATTTTGACACCTTTGAAGATAGCACTGGCTAGTTGTTTTATAAAATGTTGCTCAGTATGGGTTTGTCTGCTGTTATCCCTTGATTGTGTAATCCCCTTCCTCCCCCGCTCAGGAATACTACAGAATTGTACGATTTTCAGTGCATTAGGTCAGGAAGTACATGATGTTCATATGTGCTGTTACTGGTATGTTAACATTGACCGCTCAGGTAAGGTTGTATCTGCCAAGAGTTTCTCCACTGTAAAGTTAACTTGATCTTCCCTTTGTCATTGGTAAGTATCTTGGGGAGTGATGCCTTGAGACTGTGCACATGTTCACTTCCTCATCATACTTTTGCCACTAATTTCTGTGTCTACTGATGGTTCTTGCCTGCAAACGTTATTACTGTGGTGCTGGTTTAAGAGTGATTTTCTATTTTCTTTACTCCCCCCACATTTATTAATTTGAATTCTGCTGTAAGGAAGCACTATCCCATCTCCCTCACTTACATATTTATTCACTTATTAATTATGTCAGTATGAATTTTTAGGTGTTTATTTTATTCTGTGGGTCATAGCCAAAGATTGTCTTCATTTATTTTGTTCCTCAGTTGTTCTAGCGTTGTCATTGGGAGCTTTGTCAAGTTGACTTTTGTGTCTTTTTGACATACCCCCATCAGTTTTTGTGCACTTTCTCACTAGAAATGTTGCATTCTTGATTCTCTTTAAGCTTTTCTTTTTTGGCCCTTTTACCTTCTCTTAAGTCTTGCTGTCTTTTGAGTAAGCCGAAGACTTAGATACAAGGGTATATACTTACATTCTTCAGTAGTCAGATAAAGAAGACTGAATTGGATACTTTATTGGAACAGTAGGATGCTTTTTAAAAGATCTGGTATTCTCTTCAATTTAATCATTGGGTATGGGGTTTCTTTTGGAAGTGACAAAAATGTCCTAAAATTGGATAGTGTGATGGTTACACAATTCTATAAATATGTGAAAAATGACTGAATTGTGCACCTTATAAGGGCGGTTTTTGTGGTATGTTAATTATAGCTTAGAAAAGCTGTCCTCAAAAGAAGCCAGACCCATGAACCAGAGATGTTTACTGTCCCGAATGGGTAAGACATGGAGATAGGTCTTTCTTCTTCATTTGATCACAAATATTATTTTAGAGGTGGTGAGGACCTGATAGAGGACTGGGGACTGACTTAATGTAAGGTGATGTGATCTGAATTTTTTACTCCTTGTGTCAGTATCCTGAGAGAACAGTTGGGTTCATCAACAGAAAGTCACTTTGCTTCTTTTCTGCAGACTCCCTCTCCAGTGCTTCCCAATTACTGAATGTTTAGTTGAGTGTTTAAATGCAAATGCTGGATATGATGATACATTGAAATGAATCCACTAGACCTGGCCTGGTCTGGACTAGCTCTGTGAAAAATATTTGAAATGACATTAATGGCATTTAGTACTTAAGGAATGTACTTTCTTTAGATTTAAACAAGGAATGCAAATACCTCTCCCTACATTAACAAAGTTGCTATGTGTAAAATGATGTGGAAAGCCTTAGTAATCTAGAGCATTAGTGATGCCTTTTATGTAGTACTTGTCTGAAAGATTCATGAAAACTCTTTGGAATCTCGTTAACAATTCTTTCTTCAATCCTGACATCAGACTAAGTATGCATTCCTTAAGTTTCCATAGCAGAACAGTGGCAGGGTTTGGGAAGAGAATGGCTTTTTAATTTTTTTTTTAATTTTTTTTTTTTTTTAGTGTGTCACTTTATGGCATTTCCCTTTCTTTTAGATCAGCAGCACTCATGGGTACAAGAAATGGGGTACACATTTGTGATTTCTGTGAACTCAAAAGGGTATACCCTGTAGGACACAGCATATGCAAAAGTTATAAAATGAGGAGACTTGATTTCTAGAGGTGACAAGAACTAGTCTTCTATGTATGGCTACTTGCCCTTGAAGAGATGAGGTCTGGGTATCTATATTCTAGATCTGCCTCATAGGAGAAATAGATAGGTAAACACTATTGAAAGTAAGATTTAAAAAAAAAAAATAGAAATTCATCTTTATTTCTCTTATGGCACCTAAATCTTTCTACCTAGTGTGTACCTATGTATGTATGTACGTTTCTAAGTTCCATTGCTAGACTGTCACGATCTTAGGACAGGGTTCTTATTGAATTTTTTAGGTCTCCTTAAGGTCTGCCATAGTACCTTTCGCATATAGTGTAGCAAGTAGAGGTTGAATGAGTGAATAAGTAAGATGTTTTCCTAGAGAAGTTGTCTGGTTTGGGGATCATAGTGGTTTGGATTTCTGGTTTGGAAACATGTTTTATTGGTCTGGTAGTTTATTGCTTAAATTTTGTTATACGTAATCCTTTAAAACATCATTCCTTGACAGATAGGTGGACATTTTTGAAATGATAGTAAAGTGTTTTATAGTACTGGGTTTACTCTTCTAGGTAGAGGGGGAAAATTTTTATTTTAGGGACTTATTCCATGAGGCTTCTGGATGTTTATTAGCTCTTTGTTCTGTTACTTTGATCACAAGCATGTGCTATTTGTAAGATGCCATATTTTGTCATTTTTAGTGATTTACTAATCTTGAAGATATCTAAATGTTCAGCGTTCTGGAATGATGCCTGGCAAATGTAAGAGAGAGGAAAGCAGAGGGCTCACTGCAACCTGTGGCAGCCAAGCCTTATTATCTTTTTTCAGCATATCACAGTGACTCAACCTTACTGGCACATGGCTGTGTTTGGGGCATCTGCTATGACATCTCATCCGCCCACAACTACCTGTTGCATTTTTTGTTCATGTTCTGAATTTCATTACTTAATTAAAAATAGATGCTCAGTGTACTTGGTTACTAAATAGAATGATTTTAAAAGATGAGTGCTGTAAGCTTTGAAGACTGATCTCCGTTTGCTGCCTTAGTCCCTCTAGCTGGCAGGCTGAGCCTTTATTATTAGCCTTGTGCCTGGAAGGAAGGTGCTGTGCAGGAGGCATTAGTTTAATTTTGAGGATGGGTGACTTTTAACCATTTAGTATCTGGCTGTTCACTGGGCTTTTCCATTTCACTTTCTTTTCTGTATTCTTTTGTGATCTTTTTCCTTTCTTCATATGCATATCTTTGTACATTCATTATATGAAAATATATCTCTAAACCATATATAGTATTATTTTGTATATTTAAAAGGTTCATACAAATGGTGTCATCCTGTGTGTGTGTGTGTGTGTGTGTGCGCGCGCGTAGTTTTTTTTCTTTTTTTCCCCTGCAGCTTGCTTGTTTTGTTTAGTAGGAAGTTCATGAGATTTACCTGTTAATACCTATGGTTCAAGTTCTTCGGACTGCATTGCTGTATCATATTCCATTGCATAAATATGCCTCCCAATTTTTTATTCATTCTCCTGATTGTCTTACATGTTGTTTTAAGTTTCTTTTGTTGAAGAATGCATGCCATAATGAACATTCTCCCACCTTTGTGCAAGAAGATATATATGAGAATATTTTCTGGGGCTTCCTTTTTTTGTATTGGGTGTGTTCATCCATTAGTGGTTATAAAATCAGTTGAGTGAGTCATTCCAACATCTAAAAAATGAATGAGAATAGAATGGAAACTACCAGAATGTGTCACACATAATAAAAATAAGCACTGTTTTGTGGATTTTGCTTTCAGTTAAATAAGTAAGTATGTGGGTACTGGGTCACAATGCAAAATATGTGTGTTTTGATAAAAAAAAGTTTGAAAGCAAAAAAAAAAAAGTTTGAAAGCAAGCTACCCCTCTAGGGTATATTCCTAGGAATAAAATTGCTGGCTCTTAAGGTATATGCATCTTCCATTTTATTAGATATTGCTAGATTGTATCAATTCCCTTTCACCAGAATTGAATGAGAGTTCCCATTGTTCTGTAGCCTTAACAATACTCTGTGTTGTCAGACTTAAATTTTTGTCAAGCTAATGGGTGTGAAAGAGAATCTCATTATGTTTTTAATTTGTATTTTCATGATTATTAGCGTAGTGAAGAATATTTTGCTAATTCAGGTGTTTTTCTTTTAGGAATATCCTTTACCCATCTTTTAAGTGGGTTGTTTGTAGTTTTATATAGATTTTATTTTATTTTTGAAAAAAAGTTTTTACTAAAAGATTTTTTTCTAATGTTGATTTTTAAGAGAGAGAGAGCGAGAGTGAGAGAGCGTGCACGTAAGTGAGGGAGAGGCAGAGAGAGAGATAGGGAGACTACAGAATTTGAAGCAGGCTCCAGACTCCAATCTGTCAGCACCGAGTTGGA